ACAAAATGTCAAATGAGAAATGACACTCATTTCTCATGAGTAAGACATGTTCATTAGATCATCTTCAAAAGAAGTTCAAAATTTGTAAGAAAAATAGATTGAAAAAATAAAACCATTTAAATGAAATCTTGATAGCAGAAAGATTCAAGAATCGCAGCCACAGGCCCAGGGCAGATGTCCACATGGGGTAGAAGTTGTACTTTACTCCCTCTTGAACCAGTTACCATTTCCCCCAATGAAATAGTAAAAGAATAGAGTTTAGGTGGTCAGTGCAATCAGTACCTGTAGGTTGTTGGGCTGACATTGATTTTCCGTGGTACACTGCAGGACTCAAATTTGTTAGCCAAGGTGACATTGTTGCCAAAAAGACAGTAACGGGGCATCTTAACTCCAACAACTCCAGCAAAAACCGACCCAGAATGCAGTCCAATTCGCATCTGAAATCAAAAAACGTACCACAATGTTCCTGGTCATGGGTTAAAATTCTTCCCACTTGTCAGTGTTGTTTGAATGCCCTGTCTAAAGTATTGTAACAATTGCTCTTAACCACACCACTCCCTCCTTCCTCAAACCTCAGCCAACTTCCCTCTACTCACAGTTGATTAAAAATTATCGGAGAAGAATCAGCTACACCTCTTAACTCTTCTCTACTTATGCCCTTAGGTTTATTGCACAAAGCACTCTTATTTCACCTCTCTTCAGTATCTGAGACAGATTTCCATGCATACCTATCGCTGTCACCACCGTGACAAGACAGTGTCTATGGGCTGTTTATGTGAAACTGCTCTATCAAGTGAGATAGACATAACTTCTGGATTACAGTTGTTGTTTCCCAAAACACGGTCAGAGAGGAGCAAAAGTTGCTAGTTCTCACTATATAAAGTGTACATTCTGAGGAAAATAACTTTATGCCAAACATTACTCCACTATTCAAATGACTAACAACTAGAGAAAGGGAATTGCAATATTTAAGTAAAAAATAACACAGGAAGCAGGAAGTGGTTGCTGAGAACCAGATTAGAGGCGGGGGGGGGGGGGGGGGGG